GCACTGCTTCTGTCGTAAAATAGACAAAGACAACCACATAGCCTTTAATGAGGAAGCCTTAACATGGACACCTTTAACTGAAAAGGCCCAGCAAAATTAACACCTATAATAGTGAAAGGCAGAGCAAAGTTCCAGCGTGTTGGAATGTAATACATTTGGCGGACTATTTGTTGCATGAGGCGATGTTCTGCGCGTAACAAGAGCACTTGGACATAGTTAAGATATACATTGAGAGTATACTAAGATTACTTCCTTAACTTTAATTTTGAGTCGCTCTATGGACTTGAGCATGCTAGCGATTACTCTGAGGGCTCGGAGGTACAACAAAGGAATCGGAAGATTCTGTTAATCATCGGGGCTACTACACCAGAGCGTGGTGTTGGCAAGGTGCAGGGGCTTGCACCTTCTTGTACCTAGATCAGCAGGATTGTCAGCACTGGCTACATGTCGCCAAGTGGCGGATCCTACTAGGTCAAGAATTTGAAACGTTCGACTGGAAATATACGTCTTCCATGCATGTGGTGGTTTTTCCAACCAGGCTAATTCAATTTCAGAATCGGACCACAGATATAATTTGTATTTTTCCATGTTTAAATGCATTTGCGCCACATCGTTCAAGTCGTGGTAGACTTATTGTTTTTAAAGGGGTCACTTTTCTTTTGCTACTAGTAAGTGGCCTGTTGTCGCAGTGCCGATTGTGGGCAACCATATATAGTGGTGCAATATGCCTTTTCAGAGGCGTCACAGAAGCTGTGCAGTTCGACTTTGTGCTCTGGGGCATAATTTACCAATCGTGGGACTTGTATCTGTGATACATATATCATTCAGATTGCCGGTGAACTGTGACCACTTTTCTTCACTTGTTCGTCCCAGTCGGTTGCGTCTAGCCATAATTCTTGTATCAGGATTTTCGTTGAATTGTAATTTGCGAAAGCCATCAGGGGTTCGAAAAGTACTGTCACAGAGAATAAAATTTGTCGCTTTGTTATTGCGGATAATGCAGATGTTGACACTGTAGTGTATTAAAACTGGTCAGATATCGATATTCCGTTGGATTTCCAGAATTTTTTTTTGTACTTTCCTTTTTGGATTAAAGGAAATTATTTATTAAAATATTGGGGTAGTCCGTCGTTAATTTTTTTTGCGGGAACCCTGCGGTTTTGAGGGCTTGTGTCACTGGTGCTAGTGACTCGTGTGCTTTCGGAAGACTATGACTTCCGGACAGGATATCGTCTATAAGAGCACAGTTGACGCCAATAGTAACTGTTTTTAATTTATAGTCGAGTAGTGGACTATTATCTTTATGTACGACTATTTATCGATGCATTTTTCAACGTCTTTGTATATATGCCAATTTAAAATAAGTAACGTTAAATCTGGTTAGAAGGTAGAGGTAGAGTGGCTGTTCAACGACGCACCTAGGCCTATAGGAAGCCCATTGTGATACCACCGGGACTAATGTTCCCTCATTCTATCGTCTCCTCTCTGAACCAACCTGTGCTCCTGATGAAGTTCATCAGTACAAATAATTTTATATTAGCAACTTCTGATACGTCGTCAAGGAATCCACGACCGATAGTTGCGATTCTTTTCCTATATAGAGCTTTAAATTCGCATAGAAGATGCTTTACAGTCTCCTCTTCTTCTACTTCTTGACAGCTTCTACAATAGTCGTTGTATGGTACACCTAGCCTACTGGCATGTCTACCAATTAGACAGTGACCTGTTAGTACTCCTATCAGAGTTCTTATATCATTCCTTTTAAATTTTAGTAGTCGGTTTGTGCAACTCACGCTCCATTCCTGCCACGTTAGTCTGCTGGTTGAGCAGGTTATTGCAGTCTCCACCGAGACTCAGCTATATTTATAGCATGTTTGCTGATTAAGTGTTTGCAAGTTGCCAGAGGCATAAAAATACTCTCTTTTTCAGGGGTTAGTTGCAAAGTGGTGCCTGTTCTGGCTAGTTCATCTGCTTCGCAGTTACTAGGAATATCACTATGTCCTGGAACCCATTGCAGGTTTATTGTGAAATAGGATGTCAGATCCTCTAATAGGTCAAGACAATCTTTCACTAGCTTGGATGACACTATTGGAGACTTGAGTAATTTCAAGGCCGCTTGGCTATTCGTATATATATAGGTATATGCTCCTTGTTGTGAGCACATTTTTTGTCAATACCACAAGGCTTTCTTTAATTGCTGTGATCTCCGCCTGGAAGACACTGCAGTGGTCTGGTAAACGGAAGGCGATGTTGGTGTTCAATGTTGCGCAAAAGACACCACCTCCCACTCGATTATCCAGTTTGGATCCATCCGTGTAGATGCTAATTCCTGTATTCTTGTCCACCTCGTCCCTTTTCCACTCCTCTCTTGGGGGGAAGGCAATATTGTGGACCGAATTTAGTTTCCGTTCTATTGGATTGCGGAAATTCGCGGTTTTGGGTAGGAACGGGAATATACTGAGTATCCTTGAATGCCCCTTGTTGCATGCGACTAGTTGGGAGGATTCCCTCAGTCTAAGAGCTGACTTTGCTGCTACTTGCTTACAGAACAGGTCTGTTGGCAGTAAATGTAGAATGACTTTTAGAGACTGGCTTGGCGTTGTTCTAAGAGCTCCACTAATGCATATACTGGCTGCTCTCTGTATACTTTCCATACGCTTTACCGAGTATTTCTTTTCCATTATTGGCCACCATACCAATATACCGTAAGTCATGATTGGTCTGACAACTGCTGTATAGAGCGAATAAGTTACCCGAGGCGTAAGCCCCCATTTGGGGCCCACCATCCTTTTACAGGTGTAGAGTGCTGTGGCTGCCTTCTTCACCCTAGCTTCCAAGTTTTGTTTCCATGAAAGCTTCCTGTTTAAGATTAGTCCCAGGTAGCTTGTCTTATCTCCAATTGTTAGTCTGCAACCATTTATTAGTGGCGCCGTAACTTCTGGAGCATTATGTTTTCTGTTGAACAATACAAGCTCTGTCTTACCAGCTTTTAAGTTTAATCCGCACGATACTGCCTAACGATTTATATCGTCCAAGATCGTTTGCATAAGGTTTGCGAGAGTATTCGGGAATTTGCCTCTGACCGATACTGCCACATCGTCAGCGTAGGCCACAACATGTACCCCCTTCTTTTCTAGATCCAACAGCAACTTATTCATTGTCAGGACCCAGAGAAGTGGGGATAACACGCCTCCTTGAGGTGTACCTCTTTGGACAGATCTGCACATCGTTGACGCTCCCAGCGTAGAAATTATTGACCTGCTCGTGAGCATCTGTTCAATTAATTTTCTGAGAGGTTTAGAGATGTCCAGATCCTTAAGCGCACTCAGTATGGCCCTAGGCTGGATATTATTGAAGGCTCCTTCTATATCTAAGAAGGCAAATAGAGTGTATTCTTTGACTTCCAGAGATTTTTCAATCTCCGCCACCACAGAGCTTAGTGCTGTTTCTGTGGATTTTCCTTTGGAATACGCATGCTGCGAACCTGCCAACTTTACTGGTGTCAGTTTGTTTCTTATATGTAATTCTATTAGTCTTTCCAGAATTTTTAGAAGGAATGAGGAGAGGCTAATTGGCCTGAAGTCCTTTGGACTTGTATGCGAGCTTTTGCCTGCCTTTGGTTTGTATATTACCTTGACTTCCTTCCAAAGCGAAGGGATATAGTTTAATTGCAGCGCCTGCTTAAGAATGGCAATCTGCCAATTCATTATGTAATTCTGCGACTGCTGCAATTGAGCTGGGAATAGACCGTCTGATCCCGGCGACTTGAAGGACTTAAAGTTGTTTATTGCCCAGCGTACGTTGCTTTCTGACAATATGTTTATAAGAGTGGGGTTCATTTCTGCTCGACTGTCTTGAGTATATTCCGCAGTATGGCTTTCAGAGCTGCCTGGGAAGTGGTTATCCATTAGTATCCTCAAAGACTCTTCACTGGATATCGTCCAACTTCGGTCTGGCTTCTGAAGATAACCGATACTATGCACCGATTGTGCCATTATTTTCCTATGTCGAGACGCTTCCGCCGTGTTCTCGATATCATTGCAAAACAATTTCCATGAATTTCTTTTTGCTCTCCTAACTTCCTTTTTGTATGACCTAAGGAGGTTGTAATAATAATCCCAGTCTGACTCGCCTTTTGATTGCTTAGCTAAATTGAACTGCTTTCTGCATTCTTTCTGTAGCTTTTTAAGTTCTAGAGACCACCAGGGGGTCTTATTCTACCCCTGCTTCGTGTTATTGGACAAGCCACTTCTAATGCTTGCCGGCACGATTCCGTGAGTCGATTAACGAGGATATCTAGATCCTCCTTGCTATTGGGCTGAAACGGTAGAATCATAGGGATACGTTTTTCCAGCTCTTGCATGTGCACCTGCCAGTTTTCCTATGATTCCTAAATTTAATGCCTCTATTGTACATTCAATATATCGGTGATCCGAAAAGGAATGTTCTTCGAGAACCCTCCATTAGGTTACTTTGTCAATTAGTTCTTCCGAAACAAGTGTGATATCCAGCACTTCTTGACGGTTTCTTGTAATAAATGTTGGCGGGCTTCCCTTATTACACTCCAGTAACTTAGTACCTAGTAGGTAATTAAAGAGACACTCACCTCTGTCATTGACATCTGTGCTGCCTCAGATTGTGTGATACGCATTTGAGACGCATCCAAGTATCGTCATGCACTTGGATGCCTCGATATTCCGTACCACCTCTTTTACCTTCAGAGGTGGCACCAGGTCTTGCTCGTATGGCATATAGCACGACACCAGCCGGTAACTGCTTGTGCCCGTTTCCCAGCTTACTGCTGCTGTGTCGTTGTTGCTGTAATTATGTAATATTGATTAATTTGTAGAAGACGCATTAACTATTGTTATATCTGCGTCTTCCTGAGTACAAGCTTGAGAGTCTGGCAGCAAGCTCAGACCCGGAAGAAGAACACTCACCTTGCTCCACACTTTCCACGTCGCTCGAGGACTCCATAGGATCTTCCTCTACTTCGCATATCTCTTTCCCCGATGCCAGATGGTCTGCAGCATCGGCGTCCGACTTGTGAGGCGTTATCCTCAATTTCGTGAACCCGTAATTTATCTCCCCGCCACTTTTCGCCAGCGGTACGATGGTTCTTTCGTTAATAACAGCAGAATCTGCATCGTGGCCCTTTTGGTCTCCACGCCAGATTCTGCTACGCTGTCCTCAAATATCTTGACATACTTCCACCCTTCTGTGGGTAGGCTCGGGTTGCAGGCTCTTATGAGCTGCATAATCTGGTCCGGCTGTGATGGTGTAGCCGGGATCCATACCCTTGCCCTTGGTCTGGATGGTATGCCCTTTTGGTCCACTGCTACCAATTTAGCCCCGGGGTATACCTCTCCCACCTTGGCTATAGCAGCATTGTATAGAGCGACCGATCTCTCGTCGTCGCCAGCAATCACTTTGATCTGGCCCTGGTACCAGCCGGCATCTGTGCATGACGGTGGCGGATCCGGATTGCTTAATAGCACTTCCAGCGCCACATTTGTCAGCGCAGCCTGCACCCATTTCCATTGGGCTCTGGGGATTCTTCCTTCGGGATCTCCCTCATCCAGAACGCCAATGACAATTCGGTTCCGGGCCACTTCTGCAAATGATTTTGCGGGCGTTACGCCCTTTGTCTTCGGCCTCTTGGCTAACGGCTTTGCCTCTTCAGCTGACCTCTGTCGCTTGGCTGCCTTTACCGGCGGCTAGAGCTTGAAGTTGGGTATGACTGCTCTCGCGCAGTCAATCGATGCTTGGAGCTCCTTCGTTAGCTCCACTTTTGTTGGCGGCTTTAGCTCTACCAACCTTAGTAAGTATGCGACGCGTCTTCTCTCCGCATACTTTGCCTTTGCCTGGACCTGCATGATAAATGCAGGCCACTCCCTGGCAGATGCACTTCCAGCAGCAGCCCCTTTGGCATCTCCTCCCTCCCCCTGCTTCTCAGCCGTGTTTTGGATGCAGGGTTTGGGTCTGGCGATACCACTTTCTGTGGGCCAGCTTTAGCTTCTGCCCCTTTATTAGTGCTTGCCTTGTCTTCTGGATCAAGCTTCGCTCCTGTCCTATTAATGTTTGTTGTGGAGCTCGCTCCAAACGCTGCTCTTTTTTGGGAGCAACTAGGCCCCTCCGCCTTTTTTTCTGGAGATCCGGCCTCTCTCCTGGTTCATTGATGGTCCCAGTATGTCCGCTTGCGCATAGCCCCCGTTGCCCAAGTAAGGCTATCTTATTACGGAGGGCGCCAGGTTTCCGAAAGCTCCGTTCGAGACTGGGCTATTTCAGGGCCCCCAGCCAGGTTGATCCTCGGCACGGGTCGCATGACACCTTGATCCAGCCCTTTATAGTACCCCCGACCATGGTAAGGCTCCTTATCTGTATGCTGTGCTATTGAGGAACATCGAACACACAGATAAGAAGTCTAACCTTAGCTAGATTCCTTACGTCTACGGCAGGGGCGGACTGTTACCAGCTAGTTCCCGCTTATGTCGTGTATCTGTGGTATCTATTACCAGTCGGCACCCTCGAGGAGGATTCAGTGGGGGATTTTTGCGAACCTTGGGTCCCATAAATAGGATATAATTTGGGTCCCGTAAATAGGATATAATTTATCTTGAGGCATTAAAGAGAACTCTTACTTTAGTTGATTTTTTGCCTGGCTTTACTACTGCATGATGTGGCAAGTAAAATGAGTAGTATTTGCCGTTGATGACCTTTTTGCATGGCCTTACTTCCTCTATGTGGTCTAAATGGAGGTATTCTTATAAGACCCTATCATATTCTGGTTTCAGCTCACTTTTTTTAAGTAGGTTTTCTTCCATACTTAAAAACTGTTGTATTGCAGAGGGGCGGGAGTAGCTTTCCGTGCTCTGAAACTGTGCAGGAATGACCTACGGCAAGTGTGCGGAGAAAATCTGGCTTTACTGCTGGTCGTACGACGTACCTTCTTCACAATACTGATACTCTGAGGTTGTAATTGAAAATAAGATTTTCTCAACTTGAATTGTCATGGTGGTAAATGGTTCCGTAATTAGTCCTAAATGGACTTTGTGTCAGAAGTGTGTTTGAAATTTTCTCAACACCTTCGAATAATATCTGTCTTATGAGATCGCTGCCTATTAAAATATCTATTTGAGCGGGGGTGTTGCAGTTGGTATCTGCAAGCCTTAGGTGCCCAATGCTCGCTATTTAAATGGTAGCTTGGAAACATAATATTTGTTAATTGCGGTAAGACTATAGCTTCTGCTTGAATTCTCTTATTTGCTTGGTTCTCTTCGGTGTTCAATTGAAACGACTCCTGTGGGTAATATGACCCTATTTTGATTTTCGCTATGTATCATTTGAGTTTTTAATTCCTTTAAGCAACCCGGTGCTTCTTGGCAATTTTCGGGATATGGTACTTCGGGATTTACTGTTGAAATTAAGCCCGTGGCTCTTCTCATATTCGCGCTGTTTGGGGCTGAGCTAGAATTTTTATGTTATGAAGCATTGAATGATGTCGTTTATGACAAGCAGTTTGGACAAAGTCTTTTTGTTTTTACGAAATTATTTCTGTCGATAATATTAAATTTTTTTAACCTCTCGCAAGATTTCTACAAAGTTCGCAAGAGGTATATTTATTCTATTGTGATGAGAATGATGGGGTTTTAAAGAACCTTCTACTTAAATTGTTGTTGCTATTGGCTTGAGGCCTGTGGAAGCTTCTATCGAGGTCGTGTTGCATACCTTTTGGTTTAGTTTTTTTTTCTCCCCTTTTTGCGATTTCTTATTGGGTAGTTAGGAAATCTTTCATTTGTTGCCCTGTGGGGCATTTTCTGCGTGATGAGAGCGATTGATTGAAGTAATGATTTTTCTGCTAATGCGGTGGTGCGTATTTTTACCAGTATGGGGTCCCAGCTGTCGGTTGGAATGTTTTGTGTCGATAAAACTGACAAACAATTGAAAATAGTGGATTGAAGTTTAACTTTTTTCCTTTCGAATTTTCGGCAAGTTCATTAATTTCGTTATTTGCTTATCGAACAATATTCCTTCGTTTTCGTATCTTGATTTAAGAGCTTCCCAAGCCAAATTGAAATTGTCGTCATTTAATGCGAACTGTTTGACTTTACGCCTGTTTGACCTCTTATATGGTATCGGAGATGACGCAATTTTTGTGCTTCTGATAATTTTGGGTGGTTTATGTAAACGGCTGTAAACATGTCCCGGAGGGACGGCCGTTTTTCATAACCACCATGAAAAATGCCTGTGACACATGCGGGCATTTGAGGTGCATACCTGAACTTGCCTCTTGACTTTGTTTTTATCGCAGCTCTACTCTCGGATTTGGAGTAGCTGCAATTGCTTTTTATAGTTTCAATTGATCTGAAATCACTGCTTAAGTTTCTTCAAACTGGTCTAAGAAGTTTTCTTATTTAGCGTAAGCCGAGGATTTAAAACTTTCGAGTAGATCTGAGTCGTCAGATTCTACTATGGCGTCATATGAAGCTTGGACACGTATCCAAAAATTATCGAGATTTTCCTCTGTTAGCAATGAATTTGATGTATGTAATGCCTTCCCCCTTTTTTTGTATTGTAGCAGCTTGCTTTGAGCGTAATCGCTTGATTGTAACGCGTAATCTCTTTTATATAAATAGGATAATTAGTAATTTTTTTTTGTTTTTAATCGGATTAAATAAAATAGCGTGTTTCGTTTATATTAATCTTGGAAAGAGTACAGTATTTATTTATTATTTGTCTCGATTGTATATTTTATCTAAATAATTATTAAAAATCGCAATATATATATTGTGTTCGTATGCCTTATATGATATATCTATAAGCGAATTAGTTGTATGTACTACCTATGTGCAAATAAAAGCTATTATAAGAGATGAATGCACTTTGTACATACGTATGCAATCCTACTTGTTTTTTGGGGTATTGCCGGATATGTGCCTATATGGGCTTTGAATATATAAGTATTATATAATTGTTTATTTTGTATGCAATGCTACGCCAATTTGGAATATATAATATAAAATTGTATAGAGATCAATATGTATAATATAGTTCACAATTTTTATACTCTCGCAACCTGTTACTAACGGTTGTATGTATCACCTAAAACTAATCGAGTTAGACATAGACCAGGCTTTTTCACACCAGTGTGCCGCGTAATTTTTCAAGTGTGCCGCGACGATGATTAATTGCAGTCATAAAAAAATATTTCGAAAAACATAAGACGCGTAGAGCTTGAGTAACAGAGCGAAGGATACGGAAGGGCGCGAAAGGGCGCGGGCGGGTGAAGCGGCGTCCGCCGGCCGTCCGCTGCTTGTCCTTGTTTTGTTTCATTCATTCGTCCACTTGTCGTGCTTTCGCGCAGTCTTGTACTCGTGTCACTTGTTCTTTGTTGGTCTCGCTGCATTATATCAAACTCGCTGTGTTTAGTGTGTGTATATTTGGGTTCTAACGAGACCTTCAACATGGATAAATTCGTAACCCATACGTCAACTGATGATCAACCGTCATCGAGTCAACCCGTCGTTAAAAAACAAAAAGTTATGAATACCAAACGGCACTACGATGAAGACTATTTAAAGTTGGGGTTTACTTGGACAGGAGACAAAGACGAACCAAACCCTTCTTGTCTTGTTTGCGGCCAAAAATTATCAAATGAAGCAATGGTCCCTAGCAAATTAAAGAGACACCTCTCTACAAAACATTCTCATCTCTTGGACAAGGACTTACAGTACTTTCAACGTTTGCTGAAATCTCAAGCCCAGCAATGTACAAGTCTTACCAAGACAATGACTATATCTGACAAGTGTCAAGAGGCAAGCTATCACGTGGCGGAGCTTATAGCAAAAAAAATTAAACCACATACTATAGCAGAAAATTTAGTTTTGCCAGCTTGTCGTCAGATTGTGAAGACTTTATTTGGAGTTAAAGCTGAAAAGGAGGTGTTGAATATTCCTCTGTCAGATAACACCATCAGCAGGCGCATAGAACACATGTCAGAAGATATTGAAGCACAAGTAATAGAAAAACTACAGTCGTTGAAGATGACTTTATTGAAAACTTGTTTTGTTGCAAAGAACTGCCCGAAACAACAAGAGGTGAAGACATATTTAATGTTTTGGATGCATATTTGAAATCCTCTGATTTATCATGGACCGATTATTGTATTGGAATATGTACCGACGGAGCACCTTCAATGACTGGTTCTGTAAAAGGGTTTGTTACTTTGGTGCAAGAAAGAAATCCAAATATTGTACTGACCCACTGCTTTATTCATAGGGAAGCATTGGTATCAAAAACTCTACCGAATGATTTCAAAACTGTTTTGGAAAATGTAGTAAGGGTTATAAATTTCATTAAGAGTCGGCCGTTGTAATCTAGATTATTTAAACAAATTTGCCAAGACATGGATGCAGCCCACTACACGTTGCTTCTTCACACCGAGGTAAGATGGCTCTCAAGAGGACGTATTTTGTCCCGCGTGTATGAACTTGAGGAAGAGTTATTAATATTCCTCACATTGGAGTCATCAAAGTTTGTTAATTTATTCAGCGACGATACATGGTGCACAAAATTGGCATACTTGGCAGATTTATTCGCATATCTTAACAAATTAAATGCAGGTATGCAGGGACGAAATGAGAATATTCTGACGTCATCTGATAAAATAAAAGGTTTCGCAGAAAAATTAACGCTATGGAAAAATCATATTTGTCAGGGCACTCTGTCCATGTTCCCGCATACAGCGTCAAGAAATGTGGATTCTAGATCATTGATCATTGATAAGGGATTCATTAGAACTGTTAGAAAAAAAGATAAACAAATACTTTCCCAACAAAGAGGTTGAAAATTTTGATTGGGTGAGAGACCCGTTCAATGTTTCACTCAGTAGCTTGGTTGGTTTTGAATTGGAAGAAAAAGAACAGTTTTGTGAGTTAAAAAATTACCGCACTTTGCTATTAAAATTACAGGAGTTGAATGTAAATAAGTTCTGGTTATACGTTTCAGCAGAATATCCAGAATTAAGTAAAAAAGCTCTCATTGCCCTTTTGCCGTTTTCGACATCTTACCTATGCGAACAAGGGTTTTCAGCATTGACAAATATAAAAAGTAAAAATCGCGAACGTCTGCTATCTGTTGAAGAAGAGCTTCGAGTATGTTTGCCGACAATTCGCCCAAGAATAAAAAGCCTTTGCTCCACACGCCAGGCTCAAATATCGCATTAATTGATTATATCATGTTATTTAAAACTTATTAATGTAATTAATAATAATATTATTAAAACTTTATTTTCTCGAAAACATTTTATTTATTTATCTCAGTACATTACCTTGACAGGCTTAATCTAATTCGGTAGCATAACATGAATCAAGGCTAGAGGCCTTATACCTACGCCTACCGAATTTTTTATTGGTGTGCCGTGAAAGTTTACTGAAACTAAAAGTGTGCCGGCGACAAAAAAAGGTTGAAAAAATCTGACATAGACATCTATATATAAATGATCAAGATGAAGAGACGAGTTGAAATCCGGGGGACGGTCTAACCGTCCGTCCGTCTGGGCAAGCTGTAACTTGAGTGAAAATTGAAATATCTTGATGAAATTTTTTTTGTCTTAAGTGGGCGTGGTCCCGCCCCCTAATAGGTTTAATATGCATATTTCCTAAACCGCTAAAGCTATAATAACAAAATTCACTGAAAACGAACGCTTTTAGCATCTCTATCGACAACCCCGCCCACTTCCCATATAACGGTATTGGTAAAAACTACTAAAAGCACTAAACACGCCAGTGGCATAAAGTTCTATCTCTCATATTTCTATGTTATAGTGTGAAATCGGATTACAACCACGCCTATTTCCCGGGGTAAAACTTTGTGTGAATAATGCGTTTTAAGTATGCCACCTTGTGACCAAAAATTGTCTAAATCGACAGTTGTAATGTATAATGTTGTATAAATCAATTATAAGCGTATACAATAAAACACAAGAACGATTTCTTATAATTTGAATAAATTTAGTTTCGAAGTTGCTCTAATTAATTTCACTGTGAATGTAAATAACTGAGGCAAGAGTTCCTACTTTAGTTATGTTAAAATATATAAAAAATTTCAAACGAGTATACCATTTGACTTTGCGAGAGTATAAAATGTTCGGTTACTTAGCCCTTCATTACCTGCTAATAGCTAGATTTTAGTTTTGAGCTTTTACATTATGAAAAATTATAACTACAAAACTAAATCTGTGAAAAATCGTGTATACAAATAGAACAATGGCAACATTTGTGAAATTAAAACAAAAGAAAACAACTGATTTCTGCGTTGTAACTACGGGCACAACAAATTTGGTTTGATACGGGTAAGTACGGAAGGGAGGAAGTACGGATGTCGGTGATTGTTTGAAGCATAAGCGTGCGTACGTTATTTCTCAGGGCGCGTAAACGTAATTGAAAAACTAAATTAATCGTATGTGTACTTCGATTCGTAAATGTGCACCTTCGGTATATCAAGTTAATATGTACGTATATATGAGAGTAAAATATATTGATAACGTACATATGTATATTGATGCTCTTAATATGATCAGTATATATGTATGTATGTATTTGTGAAATTAATTTGTATATTATTAAACTAAGGTGTATATATGTATGAATATATGTCTTAATTACATTCATTACTTTTTTCTCTCTCTTCGTCGCTTTTTTTTGTTGGTAAATTATATTGAGAATATACATATGTATTTGGATGCGCTCAAGATGATGAGTTTATATATGTATGTATATGGTATAATATAATATATGCGAAACATGTAAATGTGTATATATATTAAGAGATTGTGCATATACACTAGGTAGAAAAAGTCTCCGCTCACTGGGTACAAACTTTTTTGAACTATTGTAGAATAAAAGTTTGACCAATTAAGAAATATTTTTTTGTTATTAAATCATATCTTTTCGCTTAAAAAATTTACTTTTTTTTCAAATTATTCAATAAACAAAAGCCACAGAGCTCATTTTCATTTTAAAAACAATTAACTTAAACAGAAAAAGTCTCCGCTGATCAACCAGAACACAATAATATCAAGTAATTATAAAAAGTTTAATTGCTGGAGGGGTAGCCTCGGAATTTTAGAGCTTCTGCTAGACGTTTAGACATGGAATGTACTAATTTTCTCGTATCCTGGGCTGACATTTTACTCCATTCGTCCAATATAACGGTCTTGAGCATTTCTTTGCTGGTAATCGTATGTGTGCGAATTCTGCGCTCCAATAGAGCCCATAAATGCTCAATTGGATTGAGGTCATGTGATTGTGGAGGTGAATGTAGCTGTTTTGTAGCATTGTAAGGAAGCCAAAGGCGAACAAGCTCCGCCGTATGCTTAGGGTCATTGTCCTGTTGGGAACAAAACACGTTTAGCAATCCTAATTTGTCAGCACTTTGCTTCATTTGTCGTTTTAAAATATTTAGATAAACAAATTTATTCATTATTATTATAATATACTATATTTGGTCTTATCGGACCATATAACTGATTCCCAGAAAGATATAGGCTTGGTTATATGTACGTTTGCGAATGCAATGCGCTTCATACGGTATTTTGATTTTTATGCCTAGTTTACTGAAAATTTTGGCAGTTTCACTATTCTGCTCTTGCTCGATTTTGCCGCCTTCGCTCGTTTGAGCCACATTTTCAAAAATTTTTGTTGGTACAATAGCGGTGGATTCCTCATTTTTTATATACATAGTTGGTTCTAACAGTTTATCGTCGATTCTGTTCTGTTCTGAAATTTGTTTTTGAAACACTGCCCTCCACCTAAGTCTGATCGTCCCGATTAGTCATATTTGCGGTACCAAACGCTGCAAGTCGTTCCAGATGAGCTACCTTCATTTTATTCCTTGGTCTTCCAATGGTCTGTATGCGATAAACTACATTGGTCAGTCGTTTAATAACCTGGTATGGTCCTTAACTCTGTAATTTGGGAGACAGGTTATATAAAAATACCAAATCACCTTCAATAAAACCTTCAGCTTTCATTGCGTTGTCGTATTTTGTTTGAATTTTATCGCTCATAATTTTGATGTGCTGTTTTACCATAGCATGTATATCGATACGATAAGCTATCAGGAACAAGCATATATGGGTATCCAAACATTTTGAATCTTGTCCATAATTTTCCTGAAATGTTCTTCTAAAGTTCAATTGGATCATTCTACCATGCAATCGGACTATGCATTTAGTGTATTTGCACGAGTTTTCTGGATACCCAGTTTCTAGCACATCTTCTGAATTAGAGCTGATTCAATATTTCTCCCTTGGTGACCTCGGCCCTTTAGCAGCAATGCACTCGACACAATTACAGGGACGGGGGAACATCGCATCCGCATTTCACTGACGATTGCATTTGCGATGTCCTATGGAGAAGTCGTAACTTTGGAGTCTCTTAATCCACCGTGCACTTCACCAACGCCAGGAATTCCCTCCGAGTTACACAATAATTTCTCTCTGGCTTGCTTATTGATCAATGACCATCAATGACTTGTGATCGAACGCCTCGAACTGCAAACCTACTAGCATCTGTATCCAAAATAAACGCTGATCCTGGGGCTGGGTATGCTAACATTGGCGCAGTACTTAACTGATTCTTTAAAGTTTGGAAACCGACTTCCTGTTTATTATTCCATTCAAAAACACTATTCTTTTTCATGAGTTCATGGAGGCTACTAACTAAGCTGGCAAAATTTGGAACGAATTGTCGATAATAAGTACACAGTTCACGGAAACTCCACAATTCATTCAAAATTTTTAGGAGTGGACCAATCTTTTCCTGCCTCTATCTTTTCTTTAGTTGTGCAAGTGCCCTCCGTTGTCACTTTGTGTCCTTAGTAGCTCACTTCCTTTTTGAAAAGGGAACACTTATTTGGGCTCAGCCAAGACCAGTGCCAGTTATCCGTTGAAAAACCTGTTCCAAGTTGTTAAGGTGCTCATCGAAGCAATCTGGTGATATCGTCGAGGTGGTCTTGGTCCATAAATCTCTCAATGGTAGCAGGTGCATTTCATAATTTAAATTTCATAAAATAAAAAACATAAATAAAATTACGGTGAATTGCAATAGACCATCTCTAACGTTGGAAGCGTCTTTTATTTGTCTTCTTTGTTTACCTGCACTTGCCAATAACCAATTTTTATACAAGTGTTGAGAACCATTTAGTGCCTGATAATAGAGTCCAGAGTGTCATCGATTCTAGGTAGTGGAAAACTGTCTTTCTTCGTTATATCATTTAACCTTCTATAGTCCACAGAAAAGCTCATGTTAACATAATTTTTTTTCACAAGTACTACAGGTGAACTCCATTGACTCGCTGATGGTTCGATTATGCCGCTTTTGCTTATATCACGTATGATCTGGCTTACAACTTTACGTTTTGGTAGTGAAACGCTTCGAGAAGCCTGGCGGATTGGTATTGCATCACCTGTGTTAATAAAATTTTTCACAACTTTGGTTCTTTCTGGTTTGGAATCATCTTTATCAAATGTGAATGAGTGTTTGGGATGGAGTTGTTTAGCCTTATTTTGATGGTTTGCCCCTAGTTCCTCGGTCCATGCGTTAATTTCGCGCGATATGTCATTTTCCCATGTCACGGCCTCAATATCTTGACACTGTCCTAATATAACTCCTCTGGAAAGTTTAATTAGTGTCATGAACTCATTAAGTACTCTTATTGGAAGACATTTATCTTGTCCTGTCATGCCCAAGTTTGATGTTGATTCTTCTATGGCTTCAACTACCCACAACTTTTTTGTCCCATAGTTTCCATCTATTTCTGCCCATATAACTGTTTCTGACTTTGGTGGAATCTGTTGGCTCTCTGTTGTTATCACGATAAACTACTACAACGAACTAGATAGCGAAATTCGTAGTTGCCAGAACATTCGAGTAGCGAAGTTTTGATCACAATCTAGTATATAAGGGCTGCCAGATTGTGCAGCCCAGACAGTTTTAGTTAGAGGTTGTCATATTAAGAGCAATTGAGACATAAGCAAGAAGTTGTAAGCGCGAATAACGAGCAATAAGTGTTAAGTTGTTGGAATTAGAAATAAAGATAAGTGTATATCCATTAAATTGGGACTTTTATTTAATAATCCAATGATCAAACTAGAGCGTGAGTTACAGGGAAGACGATTTATCGAGAAATCCCTTACAATTGGTGTTAGAATGGGATTGTCCAATAAATTACAAAGGAGATAATTATTTGAAAATGGCCAAGGAGCTGGAGCAACGTGGTTTGGCGACAAATGGATTAAAAAATTTATTACAATCACGGTTGCGAGAGGCCATGGGGGCGGAAAACATTAATGTTAAGGAATATGTCTTTCAGTTGGAATTAGAGGAAGAGACAACAAAGATAGAAAAAAAAGGAAGGCACGCGCTCATCAAACGCTATGGCCATAAACATGATTTTGGCTGCAATGTCCCAGATGTCAATGCATATATAAATGGAGATGTTAACGCAAATATCGACACAATTTAAAGAGCAGTTCGCATCGCAAAAAGATGTTCTCAAAGCAGTTGGAAGAGAGGTTCACGAAAGATGCACGTATATCAGCACAAGTGTCCTTACCAGTTGGAAGAGCAGGAAGCGTGTATACTAGTACAAGCGTCCTCACAGTCGAATGAGCTGGACGTCGTAAGTCAGCATGTGAACCAGTAAAAGAGTCCTCACAGTCAGAAGAGCAAGAAGCTTGTAAATCAGCACAGGTATCCTCACAGTCAGAAGAGCAAGAAGCTTGTAAATCAGCACAGGTATCCTCACAGTCGAAAGAGCATAAAGCGTGTATACCAGTACAAGTGCCCCCACCTTCGGAAAAGCAGGAAGCATATATACCAGCACAGGCATCCTAACATGTGGAAGAGCAGGGTGAAATTAAAGCTGAAACGGACGACTCTTTGCAAGAAGAGCCAGAATTGAAAGGTGCAATGCATGAAGTAGAGTTGAACAAACGGACAACAAGTGGAGAAATAACTACAAGAAGGCCAGTCGCAAAAGCATATTGGGCAGAGCTGATGATGGTGTGTGGCTGTTTGCATCGAGTATGGAAAAAGGAAATGGGTAAAGCTCCCGAGTACTTATGGTTGTTCCGAAGTTTAGAATTCTTGAAGTTCTTAACGTGCAGTACAAGAGGAGAGAATCACTAAAACCTTGGAAAAAATGAAGGTACGGTTTTATTGGACTTCTTGTCATCAATCAGTTTTGGAGAGGATTGCGAAATATGTTGTGTGCATTGTAGCTAAAGGAGCAATATCCAGGAGTCATGGCCAGATGAAACAGTACAATTCGGATGCGCCAGTTGAGCAAATAGGCGTGGATGACGATGGTCAAGTTCCCACCAATAAATTAGGAAATAGTCATGGTTTGGTAGTCAAGCACCATTTCAACAAATGGTCTGAAGTATACACAATTCCTAATCAAAAGGCTGAACCAGTGGCGGACGCATTCGTCCACAAGTGGATAACGAGATTCAGTGTTAGGGCTGCCAGATTGTGCAGCACAGACAGATCTAGTTAGAGGTTGTCGTGTTAAGAGCAATTGAGACATAAGCAAGAAGTTGTAAGCTCGAATAGCGAGCAATGAGCGTTAAGTTGTTGGAATTAGAAATATAGATAAGTGTATCGCCATTGTTGGGTCACCGATTGAGAACCAATGCATTATACGGTCATATGTTCTAATACACTTTTTGCTATTTCTTGTTCTCTATTTATTTGCCTAAAATATTCAAGGGCAACCATTAGAAGTCATTCACCTCAATGCAGATAATAATTGTATTTGCATTGTGTACATACTTACATATTTATTTGCTTTCTTGCTTGCTCTTGCTTTGTACATTTATGCTACCGCTATGTTTTCGTCCACGCTATTACATGAATATTTGTTTGTGCAGATTAGCTAGTCCCATTAAACATGTACTAAGCCTAATATGTAAGCAGCCTCTTGCAATGCTGCGTTCCCATTTTTTATATTTCTCTTTTTCTTAATAACAATAATATATTATATTAGCAATAGCGTAAAATATGTACTTGGGTTATTCTGCTTTTATGAACTGTTAAAGGTATATAACTTACATACTTATATATATAATATATGCATTGATACAAAACGAAACTATGTATTTAACGGTATTGAAATATTGCTTAGAATATTATTTAAGGAGAAGAGTTTTGCAAATAAAGTTAGTCTAATAGCTGACCACACATAGCATCATTACTCGGCTCTTTGTATTTTATCGCTGTTACAACTTCGCTTAAACTTTTTGCTTTTTGGGACACGAGTGAGTTTTTTGTTCTTTCGCACATAATTTCGGAGTGTGGTCAGTATTAGACTCCATCGTTTATCGTCATATGGCATTATCGGCATTTGGCATAGGAAAATACCGGCATTGGACTTTGTCACCATTAAACTTAGACACCGTTGGAAATCTTTACCATTGGAGTCACCAGCATTGCTCGCACACAGCACAGCACACCAGTTTGCCGCCGCTAGGTCTCGTCGTTACCACTGCCTGCAGCTCATATTTGTATGATCGGTGCATACCTATACATAAGTATAGCTGGGTTTGATTCATTTTTTGCGGTAAAATTAACTAATCACTTATTGCTTAACTACTCACTAAAAGTAGAAGTATTGTTATTTAAAATAATTTTGAAGCCTCTATAAAGCACATACAGAATCTTGTTTTGGAATGCCTTTGGATGAGCAAGACAACAACGCGCCAGCACCAAGAAAAATATTACGCGCATTAAAAATATCGTCGACGCCAGCTTGCGACCAAGTGGAAAGGCTCAGTTGCGGAATACAAATTCCGCTTGGTTATCCTGGAGACCTATTTTAAGAAGATGGCATTCAGCTAAGAAGTTTAAATGATAAGGCTTCAGCTGTTTATGGTTCCTTCATATCGCTAGGTACCGACAGCCAAATATCGCAAGCTATGATTATTCATTTAATTTTGCAGAAGTCTGATGAATAGACCAACAAAAAGTAGAAGGAGTCGCTAGATTTCAGAACGCTGCCGTCATGGGAGGATTGCACCACAGTTTTGGAAAGACACTGCCAATGCCTGTAATCACTGGACAACACGCATGTTAGTACTTCATCAACTCCAGGTGCTAACAATCACCCCACTTCGAAATCAAAGAATCAACCACGAGGCTATACATTTTCCTGCTCCAACATAACTTGTACTTTCTGTTCCAGTAACATTCATCAGGTTTTTAATTGCGCTTTAAGTCACTAAACATAACTCAACGTTTCGATCATGCAAAAAAAATTGGACTTTACATCAATTACCGATCAAAAGGGACATCGTCGTGCCAATTGTCCATCATCACACAGGTGCAAGGTTTGTTCACGGCAACACCACAGTTTACTCCACCGCGGTTCTACTTCAGGCCAATAAACACCTACTCAGGTATTTACAAAACAAGAGGCAGTCACGCATACACACAGGAATAATTCATCGTTGGATAACGTCATCCTTGCAACAGCAAAAATTTTGGGTACAGCACTGCTAGATTCCTGTTCACAGGTAAATTTTATTACAGATGATTTTTCGCAAAAGTTGCTTCTGCCAAGAAATAAGCAAAACATACAGATTCAAGGCATCGGTTCATCGTCAACAAATATTAAGTTCAAAACCTAACTAACATCAAGTCGCAAGTCCCTGGCTTCGAACTTCCATTGACTTTTTGAATTACATCGCACATTGCTTATCAACAATATCCTGAAATCAATATTTCAACATGGAATATTCCACACAATATAGCGCTCGATAATGATACATTTTATATACCAAAGAAAATCGACATGTTGCTGGGTACAGAAACGTTCTTCAGTCTTCTATCTGTAGACCAAATCAATCTTGGATCTAATTTACCCATCTTGCAAAAAACACTCTTAGGCTGGATTGTTTCTGGACGCTATAAGACGGGCAGTTACAACATATCTAAACCATCTTGTTTATTTTTAGCCAATGAATCTTTAGATGCCAAATTCGAAAAGTTGTGGAAATTGATTGACAGAGGCATGGACTCGTGAACAACAGAGTTGCGAGCACATCTACAATTCAACTGTATCAAGAAGACCTTGCGGCAGAATAGTTGTCGAATTAGCCTTCAAGGATGATCCGACGTGTTTGGGCGAGTCATATACTACGGCATTGAGACGATTCAATGCACAAGAACGTCGATTAGCTAAATCACCCCAATTGAAAGCACAATAAGTTGAATTTATGAGCGACTACGAGAGTTTGGGTCATATGAGCTTGGCTCTACAATTCAATGCGAACTTTTTCCTCTTCGTTTTCGATTCCACAGGTTTGTACTCCCTGCCGACATATTCAAGATGTATCGCCAAGTATAAATGCACGAAGATGATCGAAAGTTCCAGTATATTCTGTGGAGGAGTTCACCAACTGAAGATATTCGCACGTATCAACTAAATACTGTAAAGTATGGAATGGCTGCTGCACCATATCTTGCTATACGGAGTTTGTTGTATTTAGCTGAGCAGCATTCAGAACAATTTACAAGTGGCGTAAAAATCGTGAATTCATCATTCTACGTAGACGGCCTACTTTGTGGTGCTGATACTCTAACCGAACTTTTGCAGATAAAGTAAGGGGTAATTAGAATTAGGACAGTTTGAATTAATAAAGTGGCATTCCAATTATCATCTATTCAGAGAAGATGACTCCGT